GCAATTGCTTGTTCATAAAGGGTTTTATTTCTGTTTCTCTTATGAAGCTTAATTTGTTGGCTATGAACTTCTAGGTTGAAGGTTCTTTTCTTTAAGGATATTGAATATTGGCCCCCTCACTCTCTTCTGGGTTGTAGGGTTTCTGCTGAGAGATCCACTGTGAGTTGAATGGGCTTCCTTTTGTGGGTAACCCGACCTTTCTCTACGGCTGACTTAGCATTTTTTCCTTCATTTCACCCCTGGTGAATCTGACGATTATGTGCCTTGGGGTTGCTCTTCTTGAGAATTATCTTTGTGGTGTTCTCTGTTTCCTGGACTAGAATGTTGGCCTGCCTTGCTAGGTTGGGGAAGTTCTCTTGGATAACATCCTGAAGAGTGTTTTCCAGCTTGGATTCATTCTCTCCATCACATTCAGGTACAACAATCAGATGTAGATCAGCTCTTTTCACATAATCCTGTGTTTCTTGGAGGCTTTGTTCATTTCTTTTCACTCTTTTTTCTCTAGTCTTGCTGTCTTGTTTTATTTCATTGAGTTGATCTTCAGTCTCTGATTCCTTTCTTCTGCTTGGTCGATTCAGCTATTGAAACTTGTGTATGCTTCACAAGGTTCTTGTGTTGTGTTTTTTAGCTCCATCGGGTCATTTATAGTCTTCTCTAAGCTGTTTATTCTCATTAGCATTTTGTCAAACCTTTTTTCAATGTTCGTAGTTTCTTTGCATTGGGTTAGAACGTGTTCTCTTAGCTCAGAGAAGTTTGTTATTACTCTTTGGAACCTGTTTCTGTCAATTCATCAGACTCATTCTTTATCCAGATTTGTTCCCTTGCTAGTGAGGAGTTGTGATCCCTTGCAGGAGGAGAGGCATTCTCATTTAGGGTGTTTTCATCCTTTTTGTGCTGATTTCTGTCCAATTTTCTGTATTTACCCATGGTCTTTGTAGTTAGTCACTTTCAGATGGGGTCTCTGAGTGGGTGTCCTTTTTGTTAATGATGAAATTATTTCTGTTTCTTAGTTTTCCTTCTAACAGTCTGGCCCCTCTGCTGTAGAATGTTGGAGGTCCACTCCTGACTCTGCTTGCCTGGGAATCACCTGCAGTGGCTGCAGAACAGTAAGGATTTCTGCCAGTTTCTTCTTTTGTTATCCTAGTCCCAGAAGGATACCTGCCAGATGTCAGTCTGAGCTCTCCTTTATGAGGTGACTCTTTGAATGTATGGGTGTCAGGGAACTGCTTGAGGAGACAGTGTGTCCTTTATAGGAGCTCAGATGCTGAGCTTTGAGCTCCGTTGTTCCATTCAGAGCTGCTGGGCAGGTACGTTTAAGTCTGCTGCAGTGGAACTCATAACTGCCTTTTTTCCCAGGTGCTCTGTCCTGGGAAGGTGGGGCTTTATTTATAAGTTCCTGACGTGCTGCTGCCTTTTTTCAGAGATGCCCTGTCCAGCGAGGAGGTATCCTAGTCAAAGTCTGTCAGCAGAGGCATTGCTGAGCTACCATGGGCTCTGCCCAGCTGCTTTGTGAACTTCCTTGTGGTTTTGTTTATAGAGGTATAGTTAGAACTGCCTCAGTAATGGCAGTCTGCCTTAGTAATGGTGGACTGCCTCCGGTAATGGCAGATTGCCTCCATTAATGGCAGACTGCCTTGGTAGTGGTGGACTGCCTTGATAGTGGTAGACTGCCTTGGTAATGGTGGATGCCCTTCTCCCCACAGAGCTGGACTGTCCCAGGTCCAGCTGTGCTTGCTGTGAAACTCTCAATCCAGAGCATTTCAGATTGCTGGTCTTTGTAAGGGTGGGACCTGCCGAGCCAGAACACCTGGCTCCTTTTTTTTCAGTTGAATGGGTGGCTCTGTCTCCCAGGTGTTCTAGGCACCCATGGAAACGGCTGCCCAGATTTGTATGAGTTTTTGTGTGGAGACTCACTTCACCAGCTGAAACAGGTGTGCTGGAAACTCGTGGTGCTTTTCAGCCTTGGAATCTCTTTGTTTGTGGGCAGTAATAACTCGTTTGGAAATGTGGTGATCACTCACCCTCTGTGTTGTTTTTCCCAGGTGCTCTGTGCTGGGAAGGTGGGGCTTTATTTATAAGTTCTTGATGTTCTGCTGCCTTTTTTCAGAGATGCCCTGTCCAGCAAGGAGCATCCGTTCCCCGATCCCACCCTCACTGCAACCTCCGCCTGCTGGGTTCAAGTGCTAGGAACTGCACTTCAGAGCTGTTTCTATTTGGCCATGTTGGATCTACCAAAACTAAAATTTTAAAGAAATATTTAAATTTCAGAGTGTATATCATTTCACCTTAGGAACACCTAGACATGTTTATAAACCATTTTACCATTGATTTCTTTAGCTTCAGGTAATATCTCAGCTCCATTGGTTATTAAAGAGGCATATTAAAATAAGTGGTCCCCTCTTCTTTAGAAAAATGAGTTTATATTTCTTCATTAGGTTTTGCATTTGTTTTTGTTCCTAAGAGTTCTAGTTTAATTTCACTTTAAATACAAAAATCTAAGTTTTTTTTATCATAAATATAGTATGAAATCCAGCCCCAAACCCATATGAAAATAAGCTAGAGGCCATGAATTCATTTGGGAGATTTATTCTTCCTCCAGCAAGAAGCAAGGTGAGATAGACAAATTTCTGTGCTGTTACTGCAGGGCATTTTGTTTCCTAATTCACCTTTCACCATGAGTGTAGCACTGTATGTGTGCATAAGGGTATATTTGATCCTACACCTCGTTCCATGTGGGTCCTGGATTCAAATTTCCTGTTCTTCTAAGATTGGCCCTTCAACACTCAAGTCTTAGGCCATCTAGGAAGCTCTAAATTTCCTCAGGGCAAGGTCATTAGTGTTTATTTACATCTCTATATTCATATTCCTACTTCCTCTTTGTCCTTAGGTAAATACTTTCTTGAATTCTGAGCCACATTTAGGGGATTTATTCATATTTATTTATTTATTTATTTTTGAGATGGAGTATCACTCTGTTGCCCAGTCTAGAGTACAGTATTGTGATCTCAGCTCACTGCAACCTCCGCCTCCTGGGTTCAAGTGATTCTCTTGCCTTAGCCTCCTAAGTAGCTGGGACTACAGGCATGCACCAGCATGCCTGGCTAATTTTTCTATTTGTCATAGAAACAGGGTTTCATCATGTTAGTCAGGCTGGTCTCAAACACCTGATCTCAAGTGATCCACCCACCTCAGCCTCCGAAAGTGCTGGATTACAGGTGTGAACCACCATGCCTGGCCTCATTATTAACATTTTAATGTAGCATTTTTGTGCTTTGTTTTAGTAAGTGAATTTTAGGATCTTTGGTTTGTCATACTGCTTGAAATTGAATTCTTACACCTCATTTAAGAAAGGCCACTTTAAATTACACACTGAAATATACACTGGTTTGTCAGGACTTAAGGCTAACCCTCTGGGGAAGAGCAAAGAGAAGAGTTTATAAGTACCAATATCTAATAGACCTCTCCCCTCTCACACTGTTTCAGCAAGCAGATTCACTGAGTTCAGTCTGTTACCTGTTTTCTGAGCATTGTTGTTCGAGGCACTGTGCCTGACATAAACAATCTTGAGGGATTTAGCAATTTAGTATGGATCTGTGTGCTTGGTGTACTTTCTACTTATAATTGAGATGCACTAAAATAAATGAATGAGGTGCTGTAGAAAGCTTCCTTCGGGGTGTGTGAAGTTTTGATGCCAGATTGGGGAAAACAACAGGTAATATAAATTCACTAGGCATCTGTAGATTTGGAAGTGGAATGTAGATTTCTTCGTATAAGTAACTTTGATAGAAAGGCACATTTAAAGTGGCTAAACACAAATAAAAATTTTACCTCTGAATCTTTTCATATTAGGATTCAGTCTTTTGCCAGTATTTTGTATAAAACCAGTGGAATTACTCTTTGTTAAGTTCCTCCTCTCCCTTCTCTTTGTGTAGCTCATTTGTTGAGTGATAATCATACAGAAAATTTCACCTTTCAAATCATTTCTCTGAGTCTCTTCAAGTTAGTTGCTTCCTCTGCCTTTACAGAGTAGTTCTAACAAGTCCCTGTTATGTGACTTATCATATGATGTCTTTTAAGTACACTGGTTGTTTTTCCTCCTAAACCTGTTTCCCTATCCTGATAATAACAACTTTAATTTGTGACCATTTAATAGGTGACAAGATATAGACTTATATTATATTTAAACTATAGCAAATCTATGAGATAGATATAATTATTCCCATTTCATAGATGAGGAAACTGAGGATTCTGAAAGTGATTTGAACTTGCCCAAATCTTAACAGCTAGTAGGTGGAAAGACTAGGATTAAACCAGGCATGATACTCACACTGTGATCTTGCCAACTTTGCTTTAGTAACAAGAACATCCCTTTTTAACTTTTATTACTGGTCTAGTGCCTGGAGTTGTTCCTAGAACATAGCAAGCACTCAGGAAATGTTTACTGAATGAAAGACAGTGAAAATTCAAATATAGCTTTAATGGAAACTTACGAATTTAGAGTGAGCTCCAAATATTTACACATATACCAGAGTTTTACTTTTGGTGTATCATTGCCTCAAGGAATAGGAATGTGCCAACTATCAAATTGTATATGTGCACATACACACACTATATGAAATGTACATAAGTAATTATTGTAACATTAGAACTGTCATATGTGTTATAAAAATCAGAATATTCAGGTGTTAAATTTTATCTCTAATCTATCTTAAGATTTCCTTCATCACTGAGATCAAGGCTGGGCAAACTACTGCCTATGGACCTAATCTGGTCTGCCATTTATTTTTATAAATAAAAGCTTAATTTTTAAAATAAACATTGCCATGCCCATTTGTTACAAAGCATCTAAGGATACAAAGGCAGAGATCAATAGTTGGAACAGAGACTGGCCTGCTAAACCTAAAATATTTACTCTCTATTTATAGAAATAATCTGGTGACCTGTAAAGCAGATCACTATTGTTCTATCACTTGGTTAATATTGCTTTGCTGTATTTCAAGGATCTTCAAGATAGATTTGAAATTCAGCCAGGTGATGCTCGTCTATTTATAAATGGCCTTCGTGTTGATATGGATGTTTATGACCCTTTTAGGTATGTATTAAATTATTAATATAAATTATGGTTTATATAAAAGTAAACATTGTCTTGAATTTAATATTAGTTAAAATATGAAGGTCACTTTAAAGATAAAGCAAATACATGTTTTTCATTATACAAAACAGCTCTCTTCTACCAAAATGAGCAAGCCCAAAGTGTCTTTTAGAGTATCAGAACTGGGAGAAACAGTCAAGATATTTGTTTGGATGAGTGTTAGACCTACAATAGTTTGTTATTCTAAACTGTCTTTCATTGAAAAGTAGATTGGTGATTTATCAGGGAAGTTACTTGGAACTGAACTGAACAGCCAGACACCTCTACCCTTCGTATAGGAACAGAAACCAACATGGAGTATTTCTTCAGAGGAGAGCAATTGACAAGAGGAATTTAAAGTGCTTCTGTATAATTGTTGCATACTATCTAGTTTCTTGTCCAAAAAAAAAAAAATTCTTCAAAATTGCTCAGAATTTTGAACAGGACTGAATTAGGAAGTCCTTGCTTTGTCAGTGGTCATTCACCCAAAGGTAAAGCTGTGGGCCAAACAGAAGAGTTACTTTTGTAAAGAAACATAAAAGTACTTTAAAATTAATATTTGGAACATTAGATGAATTTAGGAAACGTGTTACCTTAGTTCAGTATTCAGTTTTAATTCAATTGAATATATTTGTTGAACTGAAATTATTCGAATTGTTTATTTAAATCCCATTTCCTTACCAGTTTTGAAATATGTTGGAAAATATATTGGAAAGACTAAAGAAGTAGTTTTATCAAACATTTTTTACAATGTTATCTCAAATGGGGCTTTTCTCTTTAGTTACTTGAATCCTTGGACCTAGTATTGGAAAAATAATAACCTAAGATTTATGTAAGTACTACACATAGAAAGAGTGGAGAAGTTTTTAAATGCTACCCTGTAAATTTCAGGGGAACAAAAACTACATCTGTGCTCAGGAGCAGTAAAAACAGGTTTAAAGGAAGTAGTGAAATGGTATGTAGATTTTAGAAAGTTTTCTAAGGCAGTATATGAGGAAGTTTTTATGGCAAGAATATTTTCACGTATGATTTAGGAAGGCTGTAGGTTGTTAAAAAATACAACAACAACGCCCCTCCAACCCCCCACTCCCCTCTCCACCCTCCACCCTCACCTCCCCCGTGGCTCCTACACCTGGATTGTGTGCTACATATTTGTTCCTCATTGATTTGATCACTAGTTAGGGCTACTGTGATTCTCCTAAAAGTGAAGGAGAAAATATGTGATAATATTTATATCTTCTGACATTTTTGAAGATAGCATAATCAGAAAGATTCTCAGAAAAAGATCAGAGGAAGTGGAATAAAATTAATTCAAAGAGGAAGATGAATGGAAGAAAATAAGGAAATGGAAGGAAAATGTCATGTTACAGAGACATTGTATAGAGAGAGGTTTTATGCAACCAGCACTTTAGAATTGTCCATGTGCGGAAAGAAAAGGAGTAAGGAATTATTTTTGCTCCCTTCCTATCTTTTGTCAGTCATTGCATTGGTTCTCCATGGGTTGTGGAGAACCAATAACATGCCCTATACATGACCCAGCCCTTCTAGCTCTGATCCTGAGAGTAGTGGGAGGAGCCAGAGCCTCCCTGGGTTAGGATTAGATTAGCATTGGTTCTATAAAGGCCTACATTTCACCCCCAGGGAGGCTGAGACAGTGGGAACATGTGGCACTGACTGGGGAGAAAGGCAGGTAGGACTGATGAAGTACATAAGCAGGGTCTTACATATCTACATTAAAACATTCTGTTCTAGCCTACCAAAGAGTCTTTTATATATATTTGCTTCTGAATAGTCACCTCAGCCACACAATTGATAAAGAGTAGTTTAAAGATTTAGATTTCCCAATTTATTGTCACTGGGGTTATTGTTGATGTTGTTGTTTACAGTAATACTTTATATCATGTTTAAGAACTCTCAAATTATATGTAATAAGAAATTTAAATTTGTATTCAAACACATGTGAACTTCATGCTTTAATGGGGCTTCCTCTGTATTCAAATTTTATACTTTGTCTTGTTTGATCTTATGTTATTTTTGTAGTAGGTTTGTCAAAAGAATGACCTGATTTTTTTTTCTTATTGTCTTTCTCAAAGCTGATCACACCCTCATGACTTTGATAAAGAATACAATAGTCTTTGTTTTATCTTTTAAATAATAATAAGATTTTACTACCACTTAAATTATGTAAGTTTACTCTGGATCACTAATTAGAACTATTTGTCTCATTTCTTAGTTTAATTTAATAATACATCTTCCTGCTGTTAATGAAAATATCAAAAAAAAAACTTGTTTCTAATGCCTTAAGAAATTGCTCAAACTTTAAAAGATTTGTTTGAAATTTGGAAAATCAAAATAAAACTTTTTTTCTTTGAATGTATAGTATTTTGGATATGCTGAAATTAGAAGGAAAAATGATGAATGGCCTTCGCAATCTTGGGATCAATGGGGAAGATATGAGCAAATTTTTAAAATTAAAGTCACACGTTTGGGAACATACTTATGTGTTAGATACTCGACATTCTTCTATAATGGTAAGTGCTTATATTATTCCTTGTTGTAAAACGTGTAGTATACTTAAGGCTTAACATAAAATGAAATATTGGCAGGCCTGACAATAAATTTCAGCATTTTGGAACAGTTGTCAGTGAAAAGAGAAAGTAAAACTATAGACCCATCTCCTCTCCCACTTGCAAATTCCTTCTCCTACTACATAGTCTGTTTTGTCACAAGAATACCTACTCTCATTCAGTGTCCTTTCCAACTTCAGAGATAAAACAAGAAAAAAAAAGAATAATCACATGAACAATAACAACAATAAGATACCAAATACATAGTTAGCATCTGAGGTTTATAACCTCAGGGCTATCACCTTGGGCTTTTATCACCTTGGGCTAGGCATGGTGTCTCATGCCTGTAATCCCAGCAGTTTGGGAGGCCAAGGTGGGCAAATGACAAGGTCAGGAGTTTGAGACAAGCTTGGCCAACATGGTGAAACCCCATCACTACAAAAAATACAAAAAATTAGCTGTGTGTAGTGTTGGGTGCCTGTAATACTAGCTACTCAGGAGGCTGAGGCAGGAGAATCACTTGAACCCAGGAGGTGGAGGTTGCAGTGAGCCAAGATCACGCCACTGCACTCCAGCCTGGGCAACAGAGACCGTCTCAAAAAAAAAAAAAAGTGTTACCTTAACATGATGAAAGCCCTGCCTAAACAATTTGCAGTGGCTTCCAAAGGTTCTGGTTTGTGTATTACGGCCCAAGGGATTTTTTTTTTAAGAAATTTGATCCTATCACCCTTTCTTGCTTATGCACAGAAATGGCTTTCAGTATGGCCTATGAGGCTGCAAATGGCTGCTCTTTATCTCATGCTTAGAAAGCACTTTTTCCTTTATCCAGTTAACTCCTATTCCTTGTTCGGACTTAATTGAAACAGCCCTTTCTGAGAGAAATTTTAACAATCCAGATGATTTTTTAAATGTACACATTGTGTTAGAGAATCCCCTGAGACCACTCTCTAATCCAGTGATTTGCTAGAAGGACTTGCAAGACCCAGAAGTTGTTATATTCATGGTTATGGCTTAGTAGAGCAAAATGATATGAAAAAATCAGCAGGGGTGAAGTCCAGAGGAAACCAGGCATAAGTTGTCAGGAGTTCCCTACTAGTGGAATTGCATGCTTAATGTGGTATGTGACAATATGTGCAAAGTGCTACCTACCAGGAAGCTCACTTACTGGAGCCTGAGTTCAGGACTGTGAGAGAGGATCCATCATGTAGACATACAGTGGCTCTTCGTACTTGCCGTCAGTGGCTGGAGCTCCAGACTGAGGAAAAGCAGGTGTTTATTATAACTCATATTGTTTTTATAAACTCTGGACAAACTGCTGGAACTGCTGCAGCTTGGCTCTGCGTCCTAGCTGTGCAAAGCACTCTTTTATCAGTCAGAACGTTCCAAGAGCTTAATTACCAAGAGCCAGTCAAGAGCCAGTCATGAAAATGGGCTCTTCCTGGGAATATCCAAGGTGTGAGCAACCCAAGCCTGTTGAGTTAAACCTTTTATGAACACATGTATTGTCTATAATATGCGATTCTTCATACACATATACATGTATGGGTGTATGCACGTGTATTAGACCATTCTTACATTGCTATAAAGAAATACCTGAGACTGGGTAATTTATAAGGAAAAGAAGTTTAATTGGCTTAGAATTCTGCAGGGTTTATAGGAAGCATGGTGCCAACATCTGTTTGGCTTCTGGGGAGGCCTTAGGAAGCTTTTACTTACAGCAGAGGGCAGAGGGAGCAGATATCTCATATGGCAAGAACAGGAGTGAGAGAGAGTGTTGGAGGGTAGGTACCATACACTTAACCAGATCTTGCTAGAACTCACATCACAAAGACAACACCAAGGCGTGAGGGATCTGCCCCCATGACCCGACACGTCCCCCCGGGCCCTACCGCTGGCATTGGGGATTACAATTCAACATGAGATTTGGGTGGGGACAAATATTCAAATTATGTCAGCACATATTCATATATTAAATGTCAGAACTATTACTCCCTTTGTATATTTATCAGAGTTTTAGTTTTACATTTATACTGTGATGCTTTTATAGTTGTTTCTTATTAGACTATATATAAAGTCCGTGAAGGTAGAAATTTGTTTCATTTTTTTCTCTTACCATTGTGAATCTGGTTTTAGTAGGTACTCAATAAATATAAATATTCGCTAAATGAATAATTATTTATCTGAAAACAACATAAAACATCATTTTTAATGATGAAACTCTGGAACCCTTACAGTTACAACATGATCAATATAATTATTCTTATGATTTAGCATTATTAAAAAGGGCATAACTGTTAGAAATGAGAAAATAAAAGTGTTGCATGACAAGACTGTATAACTGAAACTCCTCAAAGAAAGATACTATAATTAATATGGGTTTAATAAAATGGGTTTGAAGTGACATGATAAAGATCAAAAGTGTTTCTTTAAAAATCTACTTGGAAGACAATGATTTAATAACATAAAAATGTAAATACCCTAATAATAACCACTATAGAATAATATATAATCTCAATACCTAATAATAAAAACTAGAATTTAACTGAGGAAGTGTGAATTGGCATATCCTTTTGAAGAGTTGTGCCTGTGGTGCCCTTACAAACAATACATAGTTTGATCTAGTAATTTCACTCCTGGAAACCATCATAGAGAAATAGTAGGAAATGGAAAAAAAAATCTTTAGGCCCAAAGATATCTTTATCATTACATATTTTTAAAGCAAATTAGAAACTAGTTAGGTATGTAACAGAGAAATGTTATATATTGTACATTCACACAACCGAGTATAATTAAGACATGAAAATTATGTTCATAAATATGACAAGAGAATACTGTTAAGTAAAAAATTTACAATTATGTAAAAATGACATAAGATCAGAAAGAAATATATCAAAATTTAAGGCATTAATGGGTGATATGGTTTAGTGAGTAGTTTTAATTTTTTCTTCATGTTCTTCTGTGAATTCCAAACTTTAAAGTGTGGGCATGTATTATTTACATGATCGTAACAAAAAAGTTTTTTTTAATTGATACACGATATTTTACATATCTATGAGAATCATGTTATATTTTCTTATGTGCATAAAATGTGTAATGATCAAATCAGTATATCTATCACTCTCAGTATTTATCATTTCTATGTGTTGGGAACATTTCAAGTCCTTTTTTTTAGCTACTTTGTATTATGTAATATATTGTTGCTAACTATAAACCCTACTTTGCCATTGAATAGTAGAATTTATACTTTCTAACTGTATAGATAACTGTTTGTACCTATTGACTAACCTCTCTTTATCAACCGCTCACACCAGCAGGTACTTCCCAGCCTCTGGGGTCTATCATTCTACTCATAATTCCATGAGGTCAATATTTTTAGCTCCCACTTACAAGTGAGAACATGGGATATTGGTCTTTCTGTGTCTGGCTTATTTCACTTAATACAGTTACGTCTAGTTTCATCCGTGTTGCTGCAAATGACATTTCATTCTTTTCTGTGACCAAATAATATTCCATTGTGAATATATACCACATATTCTTTTTTTGTTCATCTGTTGATAGACACTTATGTTGATTATATATGTTTACTATTGTGACTAATGCTATAATAAACACGCAAGTGAAGGTATCTCTTTGAGATGTTGATTTATTTTCCTTTCAATAAATACCCTTTAATAGGATTGCTGGATTGGATGGTAGTTCAGTTTTCAGATTTTGGAGACATCTCCAAAGTGTTTTCCATTGTGGTTATACTAGTTTACATTCCCAGCAACTATTCAAGAGTTGCTTTTTTCTGCATCCTCACCAACAGAATCTTTATTCAAGAGGGTGTCCTTTCCCAAATACATGTTTTGGCACATTTATCAAAAATCAAATACCAGTTGGCTGTAAATACGTGAATTATTTTTCTGGATTCTCTATTCTCTTTCATTAGTCTGTGTGTCTGACTTTATATCAGTACCATGATGTTTTGGTTACTTTAGCTATATTTTCAAATCAGGTGGTGTGACGCATCCAGTTTTGCCTTTAGATCTTCAGGCTCTTATTTGGTTCTATACAAATTTTAGGATTTTTTTCTATCTCTGTGAAAAATAACCGTGGCTTAATAGAGATTGTATTGAATCTGTAGATTGCTTTGGGCAGTATCATCATTTTAATATTTATCTGAACTATAAGCATGGGATGTTTTTCCATTTGTGTCTTTTTCAATTTCTTTCAATCAGTGTTTTGTGGTTTTTCTTGTACAGATCTTTTATCTTCTTGGTTAAATTAATTCATAATTACTTTTTGCAGCTACTGTAAATGGGATTACTTTCTTGGCTATTTCATTATTGGTGTATAGAAACACTGTTGATTTTTGTATGCTGATTTTATAATCTGCAAATTAATGAATTTATCAGTTCTGAGAATTTTCTGGTCGAGTTCTTGATTTTTCTAGATACACAATCATGTTGTGTGCAAAGAGGGACAGTTTGACTTCATTTTTTCCAATAAAAATAAAATAAAATGGATGCATTTTATTTGTTTCGTTTGCCTGATTGCTTTGGTTAGGACTTCCAGCACCACAATTAATAGGAGTAGTGAAAGTGGGCATCCTTGTCTTGTTCCAGTTTCTAGAACATTTCAGCTTTTCCACAGTGCGTATGATGTTAGCTGTGTGTTTGTCATTTCTGGCCTTTGTTTTGTGCTGAGGTATATTCCTTTGTTGCCTGGTCTGTTTAGGGTTTTTAATCATGATTGAATGATGAATTTAATCAAATACTTTTTCTGCATCTATTGAGAGGATTTTTTTTTATTCTATTGATGTGATGTACAACATTTGTTCATTCATGTATGTAGAACCATCCTTGTATCTCTGGGGTTAATACCACTTGATCATGGTGTATTATCTTTTTGATGTGCTGTTGGATTTGGCTTGCTAGTATTTTGTTGAGAATTTGTGCGTCAGTGATACAGATTGGCTGTGT